TAGCACAAGATGTATGCAGACCACAGGGGCTGGCCTGGGCACTAGAGTCCAGGGGTACCAGATTCATGAAGGGACAAACAGTACCACGCATTGGTCCCTCTACAGGAGAGACATGGGAGTCAGGGGCACAAGTAGAGTCCGAGTAGGTCTGCTACAGCATCACTCTGGATGGTGACCTCTTGGGGACCTCCTTCAGGAAACATACACCCCAGCCTCCTATGTCCTAGGGAATGCAGCTGTTCCACAGATGAGTGTTCGAGGCTAATCTAACCTGCACAAATACTGCTCACACAGCCCAAACCAGGCATGGCACAAAAGGAGCCAGCCAGATGCCCTATAGGGCAGTTTGCAAGAAATGACCCCACCAGAGATACTAGGCCTTGACAAGGCTCCACCTTGGCCATGCACAGCTGCTGTCCTCTACACACAGCATTTCAAAGGCACCTGCGCCATCATATATACACACTGACATGTGCTATACTTACCACACACTTATACACACTTACAAGTGCTGCATACACCACACATACTATACACAAACCATACTCATACCACACACACATACATATCTGACCGGAGCCGCGGGAGACAGGAGGCCAAACTCGAGCAGGATCAGCTCTCAAAGTTTATTGCGTACAGCGAACCGGACCTAACAAGGTCCGCCACCCTCAATGTTGGTTCCTCTTCTGCCCGTTGGGGGCAGGAACAACCTCTTATAAGGGGAAGCAGTATCCAATCACAGAGAAGCGCGTCTAACAAGCTGATAGGCTAGCGTCACGGGTAACTGGGCAGACATGACAATTTGGCGGGCTTGTTCAGGCCGGGAAGAACCCGGAAGCAGGAAATGGGCGCCATCATAGGCGGCTTCCCACATCTCCCCCTTTTTTATTTATTAAAATAGGATGGTCTGTGGGTCCCTCCAAGGTGTCTATGACCTTGTTGCTGTTAGACACCTAGGAGTGGGCCTACCTTGTAGGCCGAGGCATGAGAGAATGTAGAGGTCTATACCCTGCTGTGCATCACCCTGTTTTGTGCATACCCTTGTGCCAGGACCATGCTCAAGGTGAGTGGTTCATTTTTTCGCAGGGCCAGGCTTTTGTGAACCAAACCTGGATGCATATAGACATTCATTCCTGCCTTCCCCCCAACCTTTGGGGCGGATGGCACTGCAGTACCCTTGGTCTCGCATCTCAATGCCAATAATTTGACTCCGGGAGGGATCCCTGGCCTTATAGGCCATGTATATCTGAGTGGAGCCTGTCTTAGGTTGACCAGGAGGGCTTTTCCCGTCTTACCCGTCATTGGCTTGCCCACTCAGCTCTTATAGCTGATGTTCTGCAATGTGAAGGAGATATGCGGCGGCCTGCTGGCCTGATGGGCCACCTGCTGCCATTTGCATGGCTGCCATAGCTGTGATCTTAACCTGCTGCTGACTTTGTATGAGGCGATCTAACAAGTATTTAATAACCACAAGCCCCACTAGGATGGCCACGGCAATCAGGATCCAAGTAGTCAGGTTGGGCCAGGAGAACCAGGAGGTGACGCGTTCCCACAAACTGGCTATAACACTGCCTAAAGTTGATAAATCGAACCTGACTGGACCTAGTTGGATACCGTCCATATTGTCAAGTTCCTGACCGACTATGAGGGACAAATTGTGAAACTTAGGTAGGTAGGTGTCTTGCAGCCAAGCTGTCATATTTTTAACAGTGTTGGTCAAATTTGTGTGAACAGGGGTGATTAATAGGAACCCACAGAATAGAAAAAGCTCCAAACCAGACATTTTAGTTTGTAGATGGTCTCGGGCGCTGAGCGTCGGTCCCAGAAGGGTCGAGTTGACTTGTGTCCGCGGGCTTATCCTCCTGTGCTTTATCAGGAACTGGTGGGGAGTTTACTGCTCATGTCAATCTTTCCGGGACCCACAGCGGTTCGCAGCCTGGTTCCTGTGGGAAGACACAAACCACACCTCAGGTCCAACTAACCACTGGATCCGGGCCCATCCATTGTCCTGTAACGACATCTTTCCATCTCACCAGCCTTTTGTCGGCCGGGGACGGGTTATTGTGCTCCATGGCAGGGGAATGATTATTGTGATTAAGGTTTAAAAAATTTATGGTAAAGAGTGCCAATGATATTCTTCCTTTGGGCGTTAGGCCGTGGCCTATCCCCTCTTTTTGCTTTTGTAAGACACCCTTGAGTGTCCGATGTGCCCGTTCAATGATGCCTTGTCCTTGAGGGTTATATGGAATGCCATGCTTAAGGACAACATCCATTTGTTGACAGAATGTTACAAAAGTTTTGCTGGTGTAAGCAGGACCATTGTCTGTTTTTAATATATTGGGCTTTCCCCAAGCAGCCCAGGCTGCAAGACAATGATTAATAGCATGGGTGGCCCTTTCTCCAGGTTCTGCCGAAGCAAACATAACCTGAGAAGCGGTGTCAACCGAAACATGTACATATTTGAGTTTTCCGAATTCTGGGATGTGTGTAACATCCATTTGCCAAATATGATTGGGGCGCAGTCCTCTCGGGTTAACACCAATAGATTGTTGAGGTGAAGAGATCACACAGACCTGCCAATGCCTCTAAAAGCGCCATGGTAAATGGCACATTGGGCTCATAAGCTGAAACTGCGTCCTTGATAGCTTTAAGTTGTTTAATTTCTAAGGGCTACCGGGAATGCATGGAGACCGGAACACTCAAAGGGAAGCCGCGACCATACCCTCTGGTGGAAGGAACGTCCTCCTCCCTCCCCAGATGGGGGCGCAGAAGGCAACCCAGGAAGTAGCTCTCCCTCTAACCAGGGCGGTGCCATAGGTTATGGGCGCCCTCTGGCGGCCACGGGTGGAGGTGGCAGCCCAGGGAGCAACTCCTCTTCCGGCCACGGCGGTGCAGTGGGGCCTGGCGCCCTGAAGGGGGCGATCGTGGGTCGCGAACTTGCCAAGGAGCGGAAGGACCTAAGTTCCTCCCGCAAAGCGGAGTAGCTCGGGCAGGGTGGTGTTTGGTTCCCCTTTTTATCTTCCCGAGCCCTAAGTTCCTCTTTTAATGGTGTAGGAGGGTCATGCTTAGCAAAGACGACCTCCTCTTCTGAGCCTTCCGAATCCGAATCAGAATCGGAGCCCTTGTATTTCTCTGGAGGCCCAAAGTCAGGTGTGACTTCGGGCTCCTCCGAGCACTCGGATCGAGCTTTGTCAAGAGCCTGTCGGGCTGAACAAAGCCCGGGGGTTCGTTCGTCCGTCAGACAAGCCCTAATCAGTTCCCACAGGGGTAAAACCATGGGATCCAAGCGTCCCTCTTCTCGGGCGCATCTAAGATCCCCTCCTAACTTCTCCCATGACGGGAGGGTTAGAGAGCCCGTGGGCCAAAACCAGGGGGCAATTTCATTAACACTATCCAAAAATCTCGAAAGGGTGACCCGGTTTATGTAGATGCCTCGGGTCCGCAGCAGGACTCTTAGGGAGTTAGCGAGGGGTTTGCGAGCAGCGTTGCCCACAATGGCGAAGCGAAAGTGAAACAAATGCAAAGAAAAAAAAAAAAAAAAAAAGACCGGCGTCCACCCGTGTGGCGCTCAAAATCTGTTAGGTGCGTCCACCCAACCCAGGCGATCCAGTACTCACCTGTCCCGGGAACCACTGTATCTCACGTAGCTGATCAGGGTGATGAGAAGAGGCGCTCGGGGCCTTCCGTTGTTATTGGGCCAGGTCCTCCGTCGTACCGCAGGCGACAGCAATCGCACCTCCCGGCCGAAGAGGCACGTCGCTGAGTCTTTTACCTTTTTCCCCGTACGGGCCACCAGATGACCGGAGCCGCGGGAGACAGGAGGCCAGACTCGAGCAGGATCAGCTCTCAAAGTTTATTGCGTACAGCGAACCGGACCTAACAAGGTCTGCCACCCTCAACGTTGGTTCCTCTTCTGCCCGTTGGGGGCAGGAACAACCTCTTATAAGGGGAAGCAGTATCCAATCACAGAGAAGCGCGTCTAACAAGCTGATAGGCTAGCGTCACGGGTAACTGGGCAGACATGACAATTTGGCGGGCTTGTTCAGGCCGGGAAGAACCCGGAAGCAGGAAATGGGCGCCATCATAGGCGGCTTCCCACACATATCATGCACTCACACATACCACACACACTACACACAAATGTACTCACACCAGGCACACACACATACACTCCATACATGTACATGTACATATACATGCACATGTACGTATACATGCACAACACACACAGATATACATATGCTCACTCAAATCACACACCATATTCGAAGATGAATGTGCCCTGGTCTTGCCTTGCCTGGCTTCCTTTCCTAGGTGTCCCAGTCCAGTTCTGTTCTGGCTCGCCCACCATCTTGCCTCACACCCTGCCCTTGTCTCCCGCTCCCTAACCCTCCTCTGTGTTCAGAGCTAGGTAGCTCCTTCTGTGGAACCCCCTTACTGTCCACAGCCACAGCTCAGAACACTGGCCACACACCTCAGTCTGAGTGTGGAAGAAAAGACTCCCTCTCCATTGTCCCTGGGTAATGCTGGGGAGGTGAGGTGAGCAGAACGGGGTGACCCAACTACTGCTGTGAGAAATACGCTACAACAGAGTGAGGTGCAACTGTTAGATGGTAGGTGGCCCAGACTGGGACACCCAGGCCCGGTACACAAGGTCTGTAGGAGTGCCAGATAAACAGCCCAGCCTGAAGGCCAGCTCCTGCCCATTGTCCGATGTCTCCCATCAGGCCCCTCCAAAGAGGCAGGAGGCAGCCCACAAGCAGTAGCTGCACACTGGATGAAACAGCACTTGGTGGCCGCTGGAAGACAAAAATACATGAAAGATAAATGTGGAACGCAGGTGAAGCGGCGGGGTCATTCTACCTGAGCCGCAGCGGGGAAAGGATGCTGGGGGGGGGGCTGAAGCGGGAGGAGGCTGTGGTTCGTCCTGGCTGGGGTCCCAGAGCAGTGAAGGCAACTGCCTGCACAGAGGGGAAGAGGGTCTGGGCCCGATGGCCCACAGAAGCCACCGACTACATCCTGAGGCAGCTGGGCCGGGGCAGAGATGAGGCTCTGGAGCACAGGTGCATCCTCCCGCTCGCCCCGCGCTGTGCCACCGTCCTGCAGAATGCGGCCCCCACACTGCCCAGATGGGGTCTGGCCAGGACCCCCACAGGCCAAGTGTCAGCGGCTGTTGCAGTGCCCTAGCTGCCCATTCAGCCCCTCCAGGGCGGTCCTCCTGCGATCCTCCAGGGATCCAGCCGGGGAGGAGAGGGACTGGCCGCTAGCTGGAGCTCAGGCGCCACCGCGCTGGGGGGTTCTGGAGGTCACACGTCCTCTCGGGGTGTCACGTGGAACCTGTAAATGTTCGCCGAGCGCTCACGAGCGAGGATCCGGACAGATCCTACAGTCAGAGCAGGAGACACAGTGCAGCTCCAGGACTCTAGGACACCCTGATTGGGGTCGTCCTCCCTGCTTGCGCCCCGCCCCTCCCCGCCCCGACACCCTACCTACATTTACACCCACCCCACCCCCAACCCGGGCCTCGCCCTCTCCTGCTCAGGGTGTTGGCGCTCCGGAGCTCAGCGAGGCGGTGACTCTGGGTCCTCCTTCGATGAGTCGCCTGCGCCCGCCAACGCCCGAGGCCGGGAAAGGATGGGAGTGAGCTCCTGGAGCCTGGGGTCGGGCCTCCAAGGCAGGTCCCCAGGCTGTCTCCACTCCCACCTCTCCCCGAGTATTTCCTAAGGTCTGGCACAGGAAGGAGAACCCATCAGTCAGCGCTCCAGCTGGGACAAACTGGCCAGTGGATAGGCGCGGGATTTTGAGGAAGTCCTAATCCGAAGGGGAGGTTTACCGGTCCACTGCTTCATTACCCGGGAACTGAGTTCTACCCTAGGGAAGAAGAAGCAATCTCTTGGTTTGGAGCCAATTATGCATGGAAATATAGTGTCTGCAGCACATGGACCCTTCCTATCCCTTCAGACCAGGCAGGCTCCTCTTTCTCTTGCTGGCCACTCAGGAGTCCTGAGTTGGGTGTCCTAGATGTCACTGCCAAGGGCCTACTGGCTCTTGCTGCCATAGGGAGCATCAGACAGACTCGTGCTACCCTGCCAGTGCTTTAGCTCAGCTCTGCAAGAGTTGGACAGGGAGGGATGCCACCCAACCTGCTTGAGGCTGTGCATGCTAGAGCTTCCCTGGAGACAGCTCAGGGCTCTTCCTGGCTAAAACCTCACTTTCTGGAGGACGAATTGTAGACTGTGGTCTCTCTGGACTGTCTGAGGAAGAAAGACGCCCAGCCAGGTTTGGCACTGATGTTGGCCCTAACTTTGAGCATCTGGAGCTCTCTCCAGCCCCAGGATGACAGTGTGTTGCCAGGCCAGTGGGCTGAAGGCCTGAATCTGAGGCTTGGATTTTTCACCCACCTGTCATCAAGTAAGAGAAAGTTTTTTTAAAAGTGGAAAAATGAGTTTATTCATAATTTGGCCAAATTGGGAGGACAGCTAGTCCACTCTTTAAGAGCTTATAGACGCACACTCCAACATGCAGGGCCCAGACTGGGAACACTGAGTCTTCCTTGGCCCCAGAGCTTGGGGGTGGAGTGGTGTTTGCTTTCAGCTGGAGAAACAGCTTATCTTTTTTAAATCCTAATTTTTAAAGATCCATTTTAACGTTTCAGATACAGGCTGAAGTCCAGGCCTAGAAAGAAGAGGCCTGGGACTCATCCTCAGGGTCCTGGCCTGTGCTCCAGCCCTCTTGGTCTTGGCCGGCCCAGATCTGTACTCCCCAGGATTCCTTTTCCTCCCCTGTCCAAGGCTGATATGAGCCAAAGCCTGCCTCCAGCTTGCTCCATCCAGTGCCACAGACGACAGCCCTACAGAGGAATCCTGGTGCAGAGCCCACAGCCATCAGGAGTCCCTACCTAGCCAAGATTCACCTGTGCCCTTCCTGCTGTCTCCTCTCTAAGCTGCCTCCCAGCCATGGAGTGGGTGGAAGAGCCTCACTGAGGGCGCCCCTATGGAAACAAGAAAAAGGGGAACGGGCCCCCAGCCCTCATCCACAGGGAACAACTCAGTGCCATAGCCCTCTACAAAGCCCCTAGGGCACCACCTGAGGAGTGGCTTGGACTGTGGGCATCCGGCTAGCCAGTACCATTTTTGATCACCGCTCCTCTATGTCAGGACCACCAGCAAGGGCCACTCCCAGGGTTTTGGTTTCTGTCAGATTCCAAAAATGTTGATGGTACCCCAACCTGGCCTTGCTGTTCCCAGATCTGGTGATGGAGGTTTGTAACTAGCTAGATGCTGACAGGTCCCTGTACAAAGTGGGGATGCCTGACACTTAGGGAGAGTGAGGTATGCCCAGTCACCTGTCACCATCTGATCTGGGTCCCTGGCCCTCTAATAGCTGCATCTCTCAGGATTGGTTTCTTTGGCTTTGTAAGCCCTCCACAGACATCTGTCCCCTCAAGCATGAAGGTCTTCCTGCTGGTGCTGCTGGCTGTCCTCCTGGGTGTGGAGCAAAGTGTGGTGCCTGGGACCCTGGGATTCTTCATAGGCCAAAGCCTCATAGATTCCTTCTCCTGGCTGCCCTGAACAGAGACCGGAAGTCCTTCCAGGACAGGGCCCATGGAGACTTCTAGGTTTTCCTGGACCCTCTGGAGGTCTCAATGCTGGTCTGGCCATTCTCTTGTCACTCTGTGTTTGGGGGTCACTTAAGCTTGGGAGGATCAGAGTCTGATGTCACCAGTAAATGTCCACAAGCAATTGAGTATCAAGGGTTAGCACTGGGAAGCCAGACTGAAAGGCCTCCCAGAGAGAGATATGCATAGTCTGCAGCACGTCCCTCCTTCTACAGCCCACTCCCTCATGTGCTTCTCCTGCAACAAACAGAAGAGCAATTTCTACTGCCTGTGGCCAACCATCTGCTTAGACATTGACAATTACTGTGTGACCTTGTCTACCTCTACTGGCATTGGTAAGTGCTGGTAAGGAGTAGCCAGGCCTCAGTCTCATTGTCTCCACCTGGCTGTCTCCCCAGCCTGAGACTAAGGCTGTGCAGGGCCTGTTCCTGTCACCTGTGGGATATCTGTCCCCTCACATCTTTTTCCACACAGGAAAAATCATTGACTACGGCTACAGCCTGAACAAGGGATGCTCCCCTACCTGCCCAGTCTCAGACTTTGGCATGAGTGTGAGAGCTGTGGATAGTACATGCTGCTCAACCTCCCTGTGTAACTTCAGTGCTGCTGGAGGTGGGCCTCAGGCTAGTGCCCCACTGCTGAGCCTTGAGCTTCTGCTCAGCCTGCTGTCGGCTTTGCTGTGGCTGGCCTCCCAAACTCCTTTACCTGACGCCCCATGCTCCCTTAGCTCCAGAAGAGAAACCCAGCTCCTTCCAGACACCAGGAGGCTATTGGAGCATCCACCTCCTCCTCATGCCTGATCCACCCTTGGGACCCAGCCCACCCTTGCCCCAAAGCCAGCTACATCATTTCTGAGCTCAGTCATGCTCCCTTGAAATATTAGGGTCTTAGGGATGGAGCTTAGTCCTATAGACACACAGGAAGAACACCAAAACCCCAGTTCCTTTTGGCAGGCTGGTGGGGGAGTGGAACATTGGGGACCCAGGATGAGATCAGACCCAGTGGGGGCACCCCAGAAAAGCTCTTACTCTGCCATTTCTGAACATGCAATATTCTAACTTCAGGGTGCTACTAATAGCTTCAGCTCTAGGTACCCACCCTAGATTCAGTTGAGTTCCAGTCCCCCAACCCTCACACAGGTGCCCTGTGGCTGCTTTGGTGCCTCAAATAAATGATTTTCCCACCCCTTCCTCCTCTGCACTGCTGTCCTTGTGCCCCTTCCTTTCCCTTTCCAGATGCCCCTGCCAGCAGGGTCTATATGAGAGAGTGAGAAGCAGAGATCCTCAGATTCAGAAGAGCTTGGGTATCCTCCCTGGTACAGGCCAAAATGAGCCCACTGGGGTGGTGGAGGAGGATAAGGACCCCATAAATCCATAGCCGGATGCTTATGAGGTCTAAAAGGGAACCATGACCCAAAGACTTATACAAGGTCAAGAAGGAAGGTCATAGCCTCAGTTTGGGGATGTAGAGACCAATGGTGCTTCAGCTAGCCTGGGTTGAAGAGTGCACTGTCCCAGGCCTGTGGGAAGACCAGGACAGGCTGGATACAATACCTCTCCACAGATCCCTGTCTGTCTGGACAGCCAGGAACTAAACCGATATGCATGTGCCCACTTGCCCTTTTGTCTTAGTAACTTTTCTCATTGTTGAAATAAAATACCTGACACCAAAAGTTAAAGGAAAAAAGGTTTATCTAGCTCATAGTTTGTAGAGATTTCAGTCGATAATTTGCTGGCTCCAAGGCAGGGTGGTGCATGGCAGAGAGGCAACAGTTTATGGCAGCAGAAGACACCAAAAATAGCAAGAGCAAAAAGGGGGCAGCAAGCTTCTTTTCCTGCCTTATAGTGTATGCAGACTACCTGCTCTAGGACAGGGAGTGTAGCACTCACACTCCCCATCCCAGCACTAGACAATGAACCAATCACAATCTCTAGATTTGGGACAATGAACCAATCACAATCTCTAGATTTGGCTCCCTTGGAAAAGCACCACCACCACCTCCACCACATGAAACTTTGGGAAGACATCCAGATACAAACCACAAGACCTTTTCCAGTGAAATGTGGTCTGAGCTTAAAGCAAACATGGCCCAGGCCAACAGTTGTTCCTAGACCATGGGGCTCTTGGCAATGGACTGGTAAGGAACAGGAAGCAGAAGCATGCAAGAAGTTGCTCTCCTTGAGTCTGGATGCTCTTTTCAAACTGGTGCTTTGTGGGCACTCCTTGAGTCTCCGGTTGGGAGAGGCAGAGCTGGGGCAGGGTCTGCTCCAGGACTATGTTCTGGCTGTTCTCCTGTGTCAGAGGAGGATCTAGCAGGGAGGTGGGGCCTGCCTGTGGCCATGATCCCCTCCCCCAGTCCTCCATATAAAACTATGCCGTACTCCATCTGGACAATGGGCATGTAACAAATCAGTGCCCTAAAAAGAGAAATGTCACCAAACATCTCACCACAGACACAAATAGAGCAACTCATCCTACAGCCCAAGAAACCCCTTGCTGATGGGTCAGATGACCCAGGAACAAGGCAGACACCTTTATAGACAGCCTGAAATGTGCCTAACAGTCAGACAGTTAAACCTCTGGTGAGCTCTCTGGCCGCCTTCACTCATTGCTTCCACCCCTGCTGCCACTGTCACATACTCCATTGATGATTTGCCTCAGGGTGTGTCTCATTTTAAGTCACTGCTTGTCCAGGTGGCAGATTGTGTCAATGTCCTCGGAACCCCACCCTGTAGGGGGATGGTGGTCTTCATGGAGGCTCAGGGTGGGCATCTGAACCCTGTGTATCTTTATCATTGTAGTCAGAGGGGGCCAGCCTGGGACTGACCCCTAAAAGCATCAGGAAGCCATCAGCCTCACAGACAAATAGAGGTATCTGCCCATAAAAGATGGCTGCCTGGTTCCAGTTAAGCACGTCTGGGGGAAGGCTGGGAATCATGGTTGAAAAGAACAGTGCCTCTTGAATGACCAATGGTGTTAAAAAAAAAGAAAGAAAGAAAGAAAGAAAGAAAGAAAGAAAGAAAGAAAGAAAGAAAAGAACAGTGTCTGCAGTGTTAAAAAGCAAGAAGAACAAAGGTAGGAGTCAGCCCTCCATGGTGCTCTGGCCATGGCCCTCAGGCAGACAGTGCTTCTCTGGGCCTGGTCTCAGGGTACCTGGGTCCACTCAGGGTCAGGAGGTAGGATAGCACTCCAGGGACAAGGGAGTCACAGGGACACTAGCACTCCCTCCTGGTACCATCTGTACCTGTGACTCTTTTCATTACTCAGAGGAGTTGAAGCTACTTGGCTTTCTCTGGTCTGGGACCTCAGGGCCCAGGTTTCCCTCTGCTCTGCTTTAAAGGGCAGGGTCCTCTAACGGCTGAGGTCCAGGCAGCCTGGACCTCCTGGGGTAGCTGGTACTCCTGTCTGGTTCCTGCTGCCTCAGGAGAGTAAGAAGGCTGAGGGGTCTGCAGGGAGAGCCTGAGTCATGGCCCCTCTGTGGAGGCAAGGGGAGCCTAGAAGCTGAGTTTCCATTTCCTGAGCCAGGAGGAGGGAGGGAAGTGAGCTGTATACAGAAACAGGGTCAGAGGTGGGGGGAAAGGTGGAAAATACACAGCATCTCTGGCAGAACCAACACGGAGTTTAGGAACAAAGCGCAGTTTATGACAGCATCTCTATAATAGACTAACATCTTCTTGAGAGCCCTGAGAGGCTTTGTTTCCACTTTTATTTTGTTTCTTTTCTACAGGACAATTTTTCCTTTGGAAATCAGCACAAAGTGAAGTCACAGAAGCAAAGCAGTAACTAAGGGGGTGAACAGTGATCAAGAACAAACAGGGTTTTTCCAAGTCCGATATGCTTTGCTGACATTACATCATACCGTACCCATATAACCAATGTCTTAACCACCTGTTTCCTACGAGAGCACAAGGCAATTTTCAGGGAATGTGCTATGCACTCTGCTAGCTCCATGAAGAGGTTTCAGGTCACTAAGGATTGCAGCAGAAGTTGGATCTTTTGTGGCAGACATGGTGTTACTTCTTGGGCCTTTACAATTCAGCAAGGAAAAGTTTCTACCCAGTTTGAATAGGTGTAAATCCTGATGAAGAGGTAGTGGAAACCTCCACATTTGGGCAGTTCTGTGCAACTGACTTAAATATCTTTAAATGGTGCTGACTCTACTTTTTAGACTCCTATCAGGGTCCTCAGAGTGACTTTGGGGTAGTGATGCAGTGCTGAACAATCTGTTTTGTCAGGGCAGTCATCCACCAGATGTAGAAATACTAGCCAAGCAAGAATTTATCGGGTTTTTTCTTCTTAAATGGGTGATTGTAGGAGACATCTGGGCCACCAGGAGCCCCAGGAGCATGGGCACCACAACTTGACTGTCCAGGAACTTCCACCATCCATTCAAGGTCTTAGTTCCTTCTTCTCATTGCAGCCCTTGAACCTCTTCTGCCATATACAACGGTTTCTCTTCTGAACCAGGGAACTGTGGTGAGCACCTCACAGTCAGCCTTATCGTTGCCCAGTTGCTTCTTAGATTTCCTTTTCTGGTGTTCTTTGCAATGGACAGCAGTGACTTTATCCGGGTCCCAAACTGCTTTTCAGAGTTGAAGAATATTTTGAGAGTATTTGATTTTTTTTACCCTCTGCCATGAGCTGTAGGAAGCTCTATAATTGGCTGCCACCTTAACCCCCTCGAGGAGTTAAGTTTGGTAGTTCTTGCCTAGCATGTTTGACCCATTAGGGATTATGCTTATGAGCCCACCAGTGAGAAATTTGAAAATTTGATTTAACCTATTACCCTCAGTCTTGCCACTGTTGCTAAGTTACCTGCTGACATCTCAGAACCCAACTCCCTCCTCCCCCAATGCCCTATATATTTGTTACTTTTTCTTGAATAAATAAGACTTGATTGGATTTCTGACTTGTCTCTGTTCTTTGAGTCTCTTGTCCCCTTTTATCCCCACTCCCCCTCTAGGGTCTCTGTGGACTTACCCACAGGCCAGGACAAGTGGCGCCCCAATGTGGCACTCAAGAATGGGGGACTTTGTGAGGGACGCTGTTCGTGGGCCCAAAGTGGAAAAAATATGAGTTCCTCTCTCACAAGCATTAAGCAAGGGCTGGGGCCTTAGCTTAGTGATCTACACAGCTGCCAGCCAAGCACAAGGTTGTGAGTTCGGTCCCCGAGGCAGGGGATTTAGCTCAGTGGCACAAGCACCTGCCTGGCAAATGAAAGGCTATGAGTTCAATCCCTGGTATCAATGACATTGGAACTGCTTACCAGCAAGGCCTTCCTATGGCTACTGCCTTGCAAGAGTTTACAGTTAAACAGTTCTTTATCTCAAAAGCATAAACAAAACTATTTTACCTGTGGAGAAACTGGTCATTTTACAAAGAACTGCAAAAAGGACTCCAAAGATAGAACATCTTAACATTAATCATATAAAAGGCATAATTAAAAGGGCACATTTCTCCCTAAAACTCACTGTTGATAAAATATAAAAGGGGGAATGGTACCCCAAAAGGGGGACACCTAAAAATATTCTATCTCCTGCCTTATTCATCCTTAATTTTTAAATTTGGATGCTGCTAGACAATCAGCAGCCATCCATTTTTGGCATACTGAAACACAAAAACAATTTGCTTCTCTACTATGGAGAGACCCCCTGACTAACTCATGGCATGGTCCAGACCCAGTCCTTATCTGGAGACGAGAATCAGTATGCATATACTCTAAAAGAGATAAAATCTGCGAGATGGCTACCAGAATGATTGGTTAAACAAATAGATCAAATGTAACAAATAGAGGATAATG